AGATGGAATTCCAAGCAGAAAATTTGTTGTGATGTTGGTGTTTTTTTGAGCAGGGACTAACAGAATAGTGCCTTGGTCTATACTGTCACTTGGCCTCTTCTTAGAAGCTGTGACTATAGCCTTTTCCCTAGAAAAGATGGATGCTTTGCTGAAAAAAGATCCAACTCTTTTCTAGTATAGAAAATCCAGAGAAAATCCTATGGTCTCATCGTTGCGAGAACAAGGGCAACAGGATATGACAAAAAATGTGACGGTGGCCGATTTCTTTTGTGATTTTTTGTTGAATTGTTGTGGTTGTTTTTGTGGGTGAGTGATCGGTGTTGGTCTGGTTTGGGTGGGTGTGGCTGATGCCTATGGCTAGTGTGGTCAAGCCATAGGCTGCAGGCATGGCTGGTGCGGCCTGCAGTGGCTGGTGCGGCCTGCAGTGGCTGGAGGAGGCTGCCGAGGCTGCCAAGCCTTTGGGAAAACTCAGATGCCGGACCAGAGGAGCAGATTTCAGGTCTTCCTCAGTGAATAACTCTTGCTGTACAGCCTGCAGAAGGCTGCAAATTGAACTGTAGGTGCATCTTGTTGCAATGAAACAGTATTTTGAGTTTGGAGCTGTAATTCCAAGCGGAAAATTTGGTCCAATGTTGGTGTTTTTTCCGCTGTATACGTTACCTAGGTAGCAAATGTTAAATATTTACCTCTATACACTAAGTATTCCCTTTTCGTTATTGTACACCTTTAGAAGACTAGTTTTATCGTTTGTACGCGCCTATATCGCCTGTTCTAAGAAGTACGCCTATGCCTAAGTCTACCCTGCCTCGCTCTATATAATAGTTAGCGGAGGTTCAACGATAGTTATGTTTAACCGGACTTCGGATGGCCGTTATACCTAACAAGTAGCGGCAGGGGCCTAGATCCTACTCGGATGGCCGGTCTGCGCTGCCGCTGTACCGCTCCTCCGTGCAACTAAACCCGGCAAACAACAGCCGGTGATACGATCCAACAACACTATAAATTGGTGACACTCCTATGAACCTGCACTACAAGTTTCCTGCCTCAAAAGATAATTCCCGCCTCGAAAGATAAAATGAGTAACAGTAGAGATAGTCTTGAAATCCGTACACATTCCAATTCGAGCACCGCCGCCGAAACCTACGCCAACGATGTCGAGCAACAGAATAACGAGAAAACAGAGATACAGCCTGCTGCACCGGGAAGCGACAAACATAGCCCGCAGACAACGGAAGATCCAGAGAGGCACGAATATGCGACACCTCGGGAGCTAAGCCTACTCTCGACAGTATTTACCATCGCGACATTTATGATCGCGATCGATGGCAGCATCGTCGGTATCCCAATCCAAACTCTCCGTACAAGCAGTAAGGATTGTGTCTGACTGAATCCAGCAACGGCAATTCCGCACATTACGAGCGATTTCCACCGGCTCGACGATGTGTCGTGGTACGGGAGCGCGTATCTGCTTACAGAAATGTCATTCCAACCTACGTTTGGGAGGTTGTATAGTCTGTTTGACGCGAAGATACTTTACTTAGCATCTATTCTAATCTGCAAGTATCTCTTTCGACTTCTCTGCTCGCAATCTTTCTAACGATGTATCATAGTCGAAGCAGGCTCAATATTAAGCGCTGCAGCGCCCACCTCCTCCGCGTTGATTGTAGGCAGAACTGTCTCCGGCGCGGGAGCTGCTGGCCTGCTTTGCGGTAGTCTGGCAGTGTTTGGGAGGTCGGTGCCTCTTAGAGCTAGACCTTTCGGAATGGCTCTTGTTACCAGTATGTATGGTGTTGCCGGAGTGCTGGGGCCGACTGTTGGTGGGCTTATTACAGATACGCGGCGACTCACTTGGCGATTCTGTTTCTGGTATGAGTTCTTTGCTCCCACACTGACAAATTTTGATTTCAATTTCTGATTTTGCTAGGATTAATCTGCGTAAGTATCTCTTAACTACGATGTTTGATTCCGGTCAAATCTAATACTCTCCCAGCGGCTGGCGCTGTGACCTTTGCGATCGCCTGTTGGGTTTTCAAGAGAAAAGAACCACTCCACGGTCAACTGTCGCTGCGCGAGAAATTCAAAAGACTCGATCTCTTCGGCGCATGTCTTCTCACAGCAGGTCTAGTAGCACTTTTCTTCGCCCTCCAATGGGGCGGAAGCAAATATTCCTGGTCGAGCCCAAAGGTCTACGCCTGCGTCATCGTATCTGGAGTACTCGTAACCGTCTTCGTAGTCCTCCAAACACTAAAGAAAGAACAGTAAGCCCACGCCATTTACCTCCTCTCTCGCCAGCATTGTCAATATTAACGACACGCAGAGCCACAATCCCTATGCGCATCTTAACACAACGTACTGTCGGGATGAGTTGCATTTTTAACCTCCTGACAGGCATGGCCTACAACACCCACATCTACTACCTGTCCTTCTACTTCCAATCCGCTCTCGGCACCTCCGCTGTCGTCTCCGGTCTTCGCTGTCTCGCCTACGGCATCCCGGGCTCCATCGCAATCCTCATAACCGGGTTCTGTATTTCCGCAAAGGGATACTACGTCCCGTTTATGTGGCTCGGGACTAGTATCTTCATCGCCGGCTGCGTACTCCTCCACACGCTCGACGTCAATTCGTCCGTAGGGCACTGGCTGGGGTACCAGATTTTAACGGGCGCGGGGATCGGCCTCGCGGAGCAAGTCCCCTTCATTGCAGTCCAAGTTGTACTGCCCCCCTCTGATATGCCCACCGCCTGCGCCCTCGTCGTATTCTCGCGCTGCCTCGGCGGCGCCGTCGGGCTCAGTGTGGCATCCAATCTCTTCTCCGGCGCACTGATCCAACGCCTCCAAAACACACAGGGCCTAAATATAAACGTCAGCGCAATATTAGCCGCAGGGGCGTCGGATCTTTCGGATAAGGTTCCGGAGACGCTGTTGCCGGCGGTGAGGAGGGCATTCGCAGCGGCCGTGCAGAGAGCCTTTGTGATGCCGATTGTGGTCGCGGGGCTGGGCTTGGTGTGCAGCTTTAGGATGCAGAGAAGGTACATTCCTGATGATCGGATTAAGGGCACAGAGGGGGAGAGTCAAGAGGGTTCTATGACGCCGGGGCAGGAGGAGGGTAGCGGTGAGAAGGCGGGGTGAAACGCTAGAAGCTGAAACAATGGAGTTACTAGAACTTGTGGTATTTGAATGCTCATCATGTTTTGAAGCGTGCCGTTGTTTTCAATAGAATCATCTGCACTCGCGCGCTAATGTTGCAAGTTTGCCCTGTCAATCTGTGGAATCTAGCTCAAGTCGTTACGAAAAAGTCTCTGGAAAGTGAACTCCAGCAAACAACAATTTTCGCATTTGGGGCGCAAATATCACCAGCAAAGCCATGCAATAAACGCCGGTGACCAAAATAATAAAGGATCAGATCGTGATACCCCTGAATTCTCAAAATACAAAACCATGACACCCGCCACAACCCCTTGAAAAACGCTCTTACGCAGCATCAATTAACGTCTTCATTACCACCGACGCCCTTTGCAAGCAATCCGCCCAAGCAATCACCTCCTCCTTGCCTGCAATAACTGAGAAGTGCGATCTGTAGTAACGCGGTTAGCTTCCATTCTCTCTCAACCCGAAAAAGATCCTTGAACTTACCCAGCATCAGTAACATAATACGTCATCCAAAACTTCTTCGGATTCTGCATGATAAAGCAACTCTCCGGCGAAAGCCCATCTGTATTTCCAAACATCTGATCCGGCTCCACAGTTCTTTCATACAGCGGATTCTTAAAAAGCGCAGGCACTTCCTCTCCCTCTTCTACGCAGAGCTCCAGCGCGCGGAGCGTGCGTTGGTAGCAGTGGCCCATGAATGCGTCTTTGATGGTTTGATTACGGGCATTGGCCGCGTCGAGCATGATCTCGAAGCGTTCGCGCGCGGGTAGGGACTCGTCGTCTGCGATGGTGCAGAAATGCGCGGTCTTGGGCGTATTGACTTGCACGATGTCCGGTCGGCCCTTGTGGTAGTGCGACATTGACACGGCTTCCCAGGATTGCGCATTGTAGCCATAGTAGTAGTAGTTGGCGAGTAGACACATGAGGTCGTAGATACCCTTGATGGGGAGACGGCGGTCTAGGAGGACATCCGTGCCGAATTCGGAGAGGATGACGTCGCGGTAGCCGAACTTTTTGATCTCAGACACGAAGCGCTCGCGGACTTGGAGAACGCGGTCTTCTAGGGCAGGGGTTGTCTTGAGTATGAACTCCTGCGGTGGCTGCGAGACACCGTTGGAGTGCCCGTTGACGTGTCGGGGGGGCTTATAAGTCGTTATTCCCTCCACAATTGCGGTTTGCATTGTGTACAGAGTCATTGCCTGAGAAAGATTAGCCTCCAGTTTTGAGGGGTGAGCTATGGGTTGAATTTACATCTATCATAGTGTGCTCGACATATGTGCCAGAAGTCGCGTTCTTGCATACTACGAACGCAATGGACTTGTCAACCCAGCGGTTGAAGCCGTCGCGCATCATCATTTGCCTGATTCTGTCCTCCGCATCGGTAGGTTTTGTCTCGTCAAGGCAGACAAGGAAGGCGGATGTTTCTACCATATCGATGGTTTCCTTGTTGATCGGGTCCAACTTGATAAGCGCGTCGCGATTCTGATTGAATGCAAGTCAGGAAAAGCGAACAAATACATCTTCGGTATGACTTACCTCGGCCCAAGAAGTGCGATCATCCGCGCTCAGAATGCTTGTCCAGTTTTCGTCAATGTCATCACGGTCCAAGATAGACTGGAAAATGTTGGTTAATGCTTCGATGGACAGGTTCTGATTTCCGTCGATGGGATCGACTTTGTAAATATGTCCGCGGTGGAAAACGGCTATATGGTCATTTCCAGGGAACTTGGCCATGCGATCGAGAGGTACGCCCGGCAAACGAGCGGTATTGAAAATGTACTGCCAAAGATCGGTGCAGTTTGCGGTTCCGAGATACGCCATCGGCTCCCATTTGTCTGCCTCGAGATCTTGCTTGCATTGGAAGGCGATCTTAGCAATCAACGCTGCCCGCTCTGCCTGTGTATGCTCCATTCCGAGCGGGTGAAAGGCCATGAAATTGTTGAACGGCGCTAGGGGCATGCGTCGCTGAAGATACATGCTCTGGAGGAAGTATCTATCCTGCCAGTTCTCGATTTCAGGATCATGGGCCTGCTGATGCAGACGATCGTAGCACTTCCGGCCCATGCTTCCTGGTTGCCTGAACTCTGCGACGTCTCTCTCCAGGGTCTGGAACTCTTCGGGCGTGAAGAACATTTTCGAGTTCTCTAGGTAGTCGTCAAAGATGGTTTCAAAGTCGTTGAGGGGCAACTTGTTGAGCGTCTTAAACGCTTTGCAGCAATGGAAGTCATGATCTCGACTCGAAACGGAAGCTGCTCCCTCAGGTTTGACCAAGGCCTGATCAACCGCGCCGTTTTCCACCTTCTTGTCGGGCTCGGTGCCTTTGGCGATAAGCTTAGATCTGGAAGCGATAGTTCTGGCCAAACTATTGATGTTGGAAGCATCGAGGACTTCGGACGTCTGCAATGTTGTCTGAAAGGTCCGCACGAGCCAATTCTTCAGCTCGATTGCGACGAGAGAGTCGAGACCAAAGTTGTCCATCGAAACATCCGGACTAATATCCTCAGGTGCGCAAGCGATAAACATTGCGAATCGCTGGCATATTCCACCGACAACGATGCTGTGGATTTCCTCCGACGTGGATGCCTGTTGAAGCATTTTCCCAATGTCCGTGCTGCTCGTCTCGGCCGTTTCTCCCTTCGCTTCCAGGTAGGGAATCTGACTAAAGACGGGATTTGCGAGCGCCATTCCATCGTGAACCGCTTCCATCGATTTTCGATCGAATCCGAGGATCAGTTGGCTGAGATCATCCTGGCGCGCTTGTGGACTCATGGCATAACCCAGAACGGTGAAGACTTCCTCGAATGACATGAGAGCGGTTCCAAGCCGCATCTTCTCTTGTTGTGCAGCAGGTAGAGAAGTGATTGCCAATGAGCCATCGACCGCGCCCAGGTTCACTGCCACATATCTGCACTTGGAGTTCACCTTGCTTTGAGCAAAAGCGTCCTGGAAGGCGTTGCCGACGGCATAGTTGGACTGACCGGCCGTTCCGAGAATCGCGGTAATGGACGACAACATGATGAAGAAGGCCAGGGAGTCAGAGACGCCAAAGGCAGCATCGAGGTTTTGAGTTCCTTGCACCTTGGGCTTGAGTGATGTGACATAATCGTCGTGGGACATGCTCTCGAAAGGTCGGTCCTGTAGACAAGTTAATCATATTTGAGGAAATAAGATTTGGGGGAACGTACGCGGAGAACCATTCCCGCATGAACAACGCCTTTTACTGAGGGTAGATTTGCAGAGCACCACGCAGCAGCGGATTGGACAGATTCTTTATCTGTGATGTCACAACAAATGATGTGCAGTTCAGCTCCAAGGGATTGCAGCTCTTTCTCAAAGGTCAGTTGATCTTCCTCGTCGAGCTTGCGTCGCGACAAGGTTACCACGTGTCCAGCACCGTGAGCAGCAAGGTACCTGGCAATTCTTCGCCCGAGATCCCCAAGACCACCGGCGATCACGTAAGAGCCATTCTTGTCCAGAATGAGAGGCTTAGGGCGCGCCACAGTCAACTTGACCTGGGTCTTCTCGTCGCAAACAAGAACAACCTTGCCGGTATGCTTCCTTGACTGAATAAGACGGAAAGCCTCCTCGATGTCGGTCATGGGGGTGGTCGTTATGGGTTTCACTGCCTGTAAGGTGCCTTCCTCGAACATCGAGAGAATCTTGCTGAGTCTCACTCTCATTTCAGCCCGTTTGATTTTAGCCAAGACCGTTAGATCCACAGCTGCAAACGTGACGTTCCGGTCAAAGGGCATCATGTTGATGTCGTTCTTCTTGTAGATGTCCGACTTTCCGATTTCGACGAAGGTGCCCAATGGGGCGAGGACTGCAAAGGAGTCATGGAGCGATTCGCCCGACAGCGAGTTCAGGACGCAGTCGACACCCTTGTTCTGGGTCAGACGCAGGATGCCCTGCTTGAATGTGCGAAGCCGGGATGAGAAAATGTGGCTTGGCGGAATATTGAAGTTGTCGATGAGCAACTGGCGCTTCTCACTGCTCCCTACAGTGCAGAAAATCTCCGCTCCAATGTTCTGCGCGAGCTGGATCGCTGCCTGACCAACGCCACCAGAGGCGGCGTGAATAAGGATGGTCTGCCCGCGTTGGAGCCGAGCAACCTCGACGATGCAGTGGTATGCCGTGCAGAAGATGATGGGGATAGATGCACCAACGGCAAAGGACATCCATGGGGGAATTCGACCACTGAGGTTACCGTCGATTCGCGGATGGCTCGAGAAGGGCTCCGCACCAATGCCGCATACGCGGTCTCCAACGCGATATTGATCAGTGAGTGCCGAGCCCACTCTGCGAACGATGCCGGCGCATTCGCCGGTCATTGTAACTCCAGGCACCATCTGACCCATGGCTATGAACACATCCTTGAAGTTGATGCCGTAGGCTCTGGCTTCAAGCTCCAAGTCAAAGGGTCCGAGGGGCTTGGACGGAACATCGTCGTCAACAAACCGAAGACTGCTTAGAAGTCCTGGAGTCTCCAATTCAAGCTTCAAAGGTCGATCAGTTTGTTGGTAAAGTCCGGATTCCACTCTTTGAGGATAAAGAGACTTTGTCACATAGTCGTTGAACTTGAAGTCGGTGTGGACACGGGAAATGAGAGTCTGTCCGTTGCTGAAAGTATACTCATCCTCAGTGGATCGTCTCGCACGAATTGGGGTGGCAAAAGATCTCGACACGACCTCTAAGATCAGAGCAACTAGGGATTCCGGGTGGGCAATGTCTTCTTGCATGTTGACCGTGACAAGTCGCATTCCAGCATTTTCGCGACGGACGACTCGGGCAAGCCCATTGATCATGCCCTTTGAGGGATGGAGCACATCGCCACCACTTTCTTGCCCGCTGAGCCAGAGGACGCTCTTCGCCCTGGTAAGGAGCGAAACGATTTGAGTGAATCTCTCTGTCGAAGGAGCGGCTAGCACCGGGTCTGCGACGTCATCCAGCACAATGTAGATGGCGTCGGCGTCCACAGGCGAGGCTGGCCAGCCACCCAACGAGCAGGCAAACCCTTGGCTCGTCAGGCATGTCGTGATGGCTTGAGCGAGAGCCGCGAACCCCGCTGTTTCCGATTCGCAGATGATGCTGACAGGAGGGAAGTCTGCTCGCGGAGGCGACTGCGCATCGCTTGCCGTTGCGACAATCAGCTGGGGAGTGGCGACATGCACCGGATGGAAGTCGTGGCCATGGTTCGTCGTCAAGCGTGACTGCCATGCGTCGGACGTGCTTGGCGACTGTGAAAGCACGATCATGCGTCCGCCAGTCTTCAAGAGCTTCCGCGAGTTGGCCAAACCTTCATCCAACGAGCCCACGCCTTGGAGAGCATCCGAGGAGGCAATGATGAGGTCGAATTCGCCTTCCTGAAAGCCTTGTGTGACAGGATCCGTGGAAAGATCAAGGGTCTTGAAATCGACGCAGTCGACCCATTTTTGGAGTATGGCTTTGCCTTGCTCCAAAGTCTCCGCGTTGATGTTGGTGTAGCTGTATTTGTCGAGCAGCAACCCTTCCGGACGATCGACAGTCTCCAGGACGGCCCGGGCCACGTCTCCGTTCCCGGCTCCGATTTCCAATATTTTCATATGGGGCTGCTTGAAGGACAGAAGCTGCATGTACGTTACCAGTTGGGGAACAACTGAAGAGCTCTGCGACTCGGATTGTTCCGCCATCTGCAACAATGGAAGGTAATCAACGTCAGGTTGCCACTTGAGACGATAGCTCATCTTGCGACTAAACGGGAGCGCACTCTCATCAAGCGGCGCTTCGCCAATCCCACGAAGAGAACCGCCTTTGATGGTGATCATTGGTTTCGGCGGTGCGCCCTCAGCAGTCTCCTCGAACACCATGATTTCCGCAACGGCGAAGCGAACACCGATTTCGGACAGGGTGGTCGTCGCAACCCACTTGGTGCCGGGTTCGCTGCCAAGGTTGCAGTTGATGCTCACCTCGTCGACGCCTGTGGGCATCACAGGACCGTTGCCGACGTTTCTGCGGTACAGAGGGATGCCGAGTTGAAACACGGCATCGAAGGACGCGGGGTGAATCAAATGCGGTTGCTGCCACTGCTTTGGCATTACACTCCTCACATCAGGGACGAGCACATTGGCAATGCCGCCCAGGGGCCCGACCTGTACTGACTGAATGCCGTTGAAAGTTGGACCATACACATTTCCGTTCTCGGCAAAATTCGCGTAAAGCTCGTCGTGGTCGATGGTCGTATCGCACGCATCTCTGATGTCTTGGAGTCGCTTGAGCTGGGAGGATATCATCATGTCTTCTTCACGGAAGCCTTCGACGTCGTCCTTTTTAGCTGCCCACTCGATCATGACGGAGCCGGAGCAGTGCTCGTGCCAGACATCCTCAGTCGATAGGGCCATGATGCGGAACGTCTCCCATGTACGATCAGCCAGATGTTTGCCAGGTCTCAGCGTGAGCATAACTTCAACGTCCGCCGTTAACCCATCTGTACGTCGCTCGGGGATCATAATTGACTTTGTGAAGGTGACGTTTTTTAGATGGACACGGGACATGACGCCCTGTATCTTCCGATCAATAGCAATTTGGCGAGCTGCTTCGATGGCCATGGAGAGGTATGCAGCGGCGGGATAGATTGCAAAGCCGTCGACCACATGGTCCCGCAGCCACGGAAGACTGTCGACACCAAGGAAGTTCCGCCACGTGGGCTCATGGTTGGTTGTTCCGGCAACACGCAAGCCCAGGAGATCGTGCGGTGGATGCGCACGGAAGCGATGTTGCTTGCTGAGGTTCGACTCATAGAGATAGCTTGTAGAATGGTCCCAAGAGTATGGCGGGAGATCGTCAATCAAGGTTGCAGGTTTCGCAGGGTCGTCTGCACCAAGTGTTGCTTCCAAAGCCACCGGATAGCCAAACTCAAACAGCTTCCCCGCGGTCTCCAAAATGCTGAGAACCGCGTGACGGCCTCTTACCAGTGTAGGGAGGTAGTTGGACTTGAAGCTCGGCAGTCCAAGGCCCTGGATGATCTGTCTCACTGGGCCACCCAAGGCACCATGTGGACCAACTTCCGTAAGCAGTGTCAGCGGTGCCGGCTCGATGCCCACGAGTTCAGTACGAACAAGGAGGTCCAATGCGTTTCCAAACCTCACAGGAGAAACGAGATTGTCCACCCAGTACTGCGCATCAAACCCCCCTGTCTTCTGCGTGACACTCACAGAAGAATAGAACTTAATAGCGTGATTCGGGGTCCGTGCTTTCACGTGCGCAATAGACGCGAGGTACTCGGACGCAACCTTCTTCATGTGATGAGAGTGATACGCCGTATCCACCTTCAGTTTCCGATTGAATATAGACTCCTCGTCGAGATTCTGCTTCAGCTCATCAATGGCAGCCTCGTCACCTGAGATTGTCGTGCTGACGGGAGAATTGACACAGGCAACATTGACGAGTCCTGTGCGGGTCTGCTCAATGTATTTCTGGACATCGTGCTCGCCTAAACCGACGGCCATCATCGCGCCTTTGCTCGAAATAACTCGTGCGCAAGCTTTGGACATGAAGCCTCGCCTGTATGATATCTCCAGCGCCGCTTCGTGCTCGAGGGCTTCTGCAGCATAAGCAGCGGCTATCTCACCGCTGCTGTGGCCGAGGACCAGGTCAGGCGAGACCCCGAATGTCTTGAGGAGGTCGACTAATGCGATCTGGATTGCGGTAGTAGAAGGCTGAGAGATCTCAGCATCGCCGACTCGCGACCCTTTCTCGTCTTTGGAGAGTTCACCAATTAAGCTCCAATCCGCGCCGAGGGCTTTGAGAATGGAATCGGATTTCCACATCGACTTCCGGAAAACCGGCTGGTGCAGAGTAAGTTCGCGACCCATTGCATGCCACTGTGCTCCCTGACCGGTGAAGAGGAAAACAGAGCGAAAGTTCGTTACGGACTTGGTGATGCGCGGCTTCTGTTCGAGCTGATTGAGAAGATCATCATGGTTTGAGGCGGCTGTACTGAACCGATATTGCAGTTTCGTCCGGCGGGTGGAGAGAGTGTATGCGAGATTGCGGAAGTAGGACTCGTCCTTTCGGGCGGAGACCCATTGGTGCAACTTGGAGACCATAGCCTGCAAGGAAGCCTCGGACCGGGCGGACAGGACGAAGAGCTGGGAGTTATCTCCTTTGTCGGAGCTGGGGCTCATGGTGTCGAATTCGGTTGGGTGGCCGTTCGTTTCAAGTGTTTTAGACTTGGAAGGTCCCTTGGAGTACCCGTTTGTCCCGTTTTCGAGCTGGATGACAGTTGTTCCATGTGTACCATTCTCGAAATGGACGCCATTCGTCCCATTTGTGCCATTGGTAGAGTGAGTACGCTCTATTGGTTCCTGGTATGTTGACGGAGCTTCCAAAATGACATGGGCATTGGTGCCTCCATACCCGAAGGAGTTGACGGACACACGCCGGACAGTGGTTTCGGGGAGGGGAACCATTTCTGTTGCGACCTTGGAAAAACATGAGTAACCGCTATCGTATTCTCTCGCAAAATGACTGACCTTAATCTTCCTCTCCTCAAGATGCAGAGTGGGCTTGGGCTTGATAAAGTCGATATTGGGCGGAATGTTTCCATGTTTGAGGATGAGGATTGCTTTGAGCAAGCCTGCGACACCACTAGAGGCTTCTAGATGTCCAATGTTCGACTTGATGGAGCCAACATACAAATCACCCTCTCGTCCGTCTTTGGTGAAGACTTCCGCAATCGATGAAATCTCGGCGCTGTCACCTGTCACAACTTTAGCGCTCGTTTCAAGGGTTGTGAAGAGCCAACATACCGGCCTGCGTTCCTGTGCCATGCGCCTCAACATACGCAGTTTCCGCTGGGCTCAGACCAGCATTACGATAGACTTGCCGTATAAGATCTGCTTGAGCAGCGGGATTCGGGAGTGTGAGGCCGGCGGTCTTGCCATCCTGGTTCAACCCAGAATTTCTGATGATAGCGTGGATCTTGTCGCCGTCACCGACGGCATCCGCGAGACGCTTCAGAATCAAAGTAACAACACCCTCACCTCGTGCGTAGCCGGCGCCCCGGCTATCAAAAACATAGCATTTCCCATCCGGGTTCGTCATGCTAAGATGATGCGTTAGTCGAAGCGCTCTTAATCAAGGACGAAAGTGAGCACGTACCCTACACTGCTCATGGGAATGATCTGGTCTGGAGTGAGCACTAATTGGGTTCCGGCGACAATAGCCATCTTCGATTCCCGTGCTCGCAGCCCATGGCATGCCTGATGCAGGGCGACCATGCTTCCCGAACATCCAGTGTCCACTGTGCTTGATGGGCCCTTGAGATCGAAGACATAGGATATTCTGTTGGATAGAATTGCAATGCCAGTGCCGATCATGTGAGCTTTTGGGGTTCTCGATATGTCCTTGTATCCCATGCGTTCGAAGCTGGAAGGGTAAACGTTAGCTCGCATCCCTAGGACATGGTACACAGTTGAAATCCTGGGGAAATCTCCGCGTGGGAATAGGGAACTTACTCGGTAGCATATGCTCCGACGTGGACAGAGGTATCGGAGCCTTTGATTGACTCTAACGTCTGTCCAGCGTTCTCGAGCGCCTCGTACGCCGTCTCGAGCAAAATGCGCTGCTGCGGGTCAAGACAGTGCGCCTCATGAGGATGGATGTTGAAGAAGCGCGCATCAAAAGCACTGATATCTTGATCCAAGAAGTATAAGCTCTTGGTGTTGATGGCTTCCTTTGCCTCTGGATCGGGATGGTAGAAGGAATCTTTATTCCACCTGTCTGCTGGTATCTCTCGCCAGCCACTTCGTCCCTCTGATAGCATGTCCCAGAGCTTGTCTGGGTTATCTGAGCCGCCAGGAAGACGGCATGCCATGCCTATGATGGCAATAGGACTAGGGCGGAGGTCGGCCATGCTTGGTACTGGGAAACACGGCGCTGGGGTGCAGAATCAGAAGGTGGGATATTCCGAATAGCGGGGCGAAAATAGCAAGGAGAGAGAGGAGCGAGAGAAAAATGAATTGCACTTCAATTCGGTCAACCCCTAAATAATTCTGTAGGAGGACTCCGCAGACGACTCCGGGTCCTGATATGAAGGAGAGGCCATCTTGGGAGCTCACTTATCAGAACCATGCCGCGAGTCAGGATCATCATCCATGCCCAACTTCCAGAATCAACACAATGGGTGACGGGGGAGTTGGAAAGCTGCCAATAGTTTCAGTTGGGTGGCTGCTTCTGGTCGAGTAGTGCCGTTGGCTGCCGGCGAGACTCTTTGATCCTGCCGAAGATGGGATGCCGACTCACCAGCGCTGACGGGATATGGGGTGAGTGATCCGTATGCATCGTAGGCAGAGTGTGTGTTGATGTGGTAGGATGTTGGTTGGATTTAGATGCAGGATGGGCCCATGCCCCACGGGGTATCTACTACCCCAAGGCCTGGTGAGACGGATTCGAGCACCAGGGTCCAGAGTCCCTGCAGCTACGGGTCAGCTACGGGTCGACTATCCGCGAAGCGACGTTCGATTAAGCTTTTATCAGGCCCGTGTTGGCGCCAACCAAATGAGGCAAGGCGCTGATTTGAGCTGCACTTGGCGTCTTAGCTCGACTTAGCTTTCAGGTGGTTAATCTCCAGGTATACTCCGTACTCCGTACATCCGGATAGGCGACCACACATTACACAGTACAAGTACTTCCCCAGGCGTTCGACCAATTTGAGAGCCTTGGTTAGGCGGCCCAACCTTATCATACTGGTAATACTCTCAGCGAACGTGTCCCCACCTCCCCACCTCCCCACCGTACGATGCCGGCCGGCCTGATCCGTCCAGCCCCGATGTTGATGTTTTCATGAGTTCGGCAGCGTTGGAGCCGTACCATCTCGTTCGAAAGCTAGGATGCGGAAAGGTGGTTCCAATTCTCGAAGAGAGGTTTAGGATTTTAGCCGGAATGCTGCGCCACCAACACGCTTTGATTGATACACCGCGGCCGAGATCCTCCAATCACGTTCAACCAAGTCCCTGAACGTTGGCCCCCCACCCTCTCCGCCTGGTTGACGTGCAGATGGAGAGGCCAAGCGCCCACAGTCTCGGTTTCAGCGGCCGGAACCAAGGGAACGCAGCCGACCCCTCGGTCTCGACCGCGACCCAGCAACGGGTCCCTCGTGTGGTCTCCCGCCATTTCGAGCAATCTCTGCCTCTCTGTTGGATTCCTCTGCCGCTTGCCCGTTGAGGCACTCATGGCACAAATACCGACAAGCGCGCGGATCCCTCACCTTATCTGATTCCCCTTCTCCCAAAAGACATCCATCTCGAAGCGGTCATTTCAACATGGGCACCGCACCTGAAGGCTACGTCCAAGGCTTCGTCTGCACGCTGAAGACGTGCTCGGTGGAAAAATGGGGCTACGTTCACTACCAGCCCAGCCTCGCCGGCAATGCCCTCTTCCTCGTCATCATGGCCCTTCTCGCCGTCGCCCAGATATTCCTGGGCATCAAGAATAAAACGAAGGGAGTCGCAGCTGTCATGGTGCTAGGTCTCGTGACCGAAACCCTCGGTTACGTCGCTCGAGTCCTTCTACATGGGAATCCGTTCTTCAGAGACTACTTCCTGTGGTACCTGATTACTTTGACCATTGGCCCCGTCTTTATCGCCGCCGCCATTTACCTGACCCTCGGGCGCATCGTTGTCGTCTATGGGGAACAAATCAGCAGAATCAGACCTAGCACGTACACAACCTTCTTTGTGGGATGCGACTTCGTCAGTCTTTGTGTCCAGGCGGTCGGCGGAGGAATCGCTGCATCCACTCCGCTCACCAATCAGCCTCTGGTACTGAACTCCATACTCTGAGCTCCTTGCACTGCCCTTGTTTTGAGCGGGGCCATGCTAACATTGAATGCTACTAGATCGATACAGGAACACACATTCTCGTCGCAGGTCTCTCAATTCAAGTTGCCAGTCTCTTCTTTTTCTCAGCCTGCAGCCTTGAATTCTTGTGGCGCGCGCACAAGCGTCCGGAACAGCGCAATTCCGAATTTGCAGATCTTGTGAACAGCAAACGGTTCAAGTTCTTCCTCTACTGTATGTCCACACGACTCCTTTACTTCTCATGTCAAGAATACTGACGACCCGAAAGCGCTCTTCACAGCAACGGCACTCTTGTTCGTCCGAACCGTCTTCCGTGCCGTTGAGTTGTCTCAGGGATTCTCTGGAAAATTGGCAAATAGTGAGGTCGAATTCATGGTTCTGGATGGGGTCATGGTCATCCTCGCATCGCTCTGTCTCACAATCTGGAACCCGGGCTATGGCTTTGGCCAGCGGTGGAACGAGGCCAAGTTCGAATTTGGCTCCAAAACGGGTAAGGGAGAAAGAGATGCCGAAGCTCAGCAGACACCTGAATCAAGGAGCACTGAGAAAGTGGAGCCCGAGGTGTCCGAACAGAGAGTCTGAGGGGGCGACCAACGCTCTCCACCACCAGTAGGATGCCGAGTAGACTGGTTCCCAAGGAATAGTCAAGCGGTTGCCTCACGAACCTCAAGGCACACAGGTGAAACGACCGACAGGCATTACCCATGCATTTAATCAACATTGCATCCATCATGATGGTGTTCGCCAAAGGATTCCACGCTTGCATGGTGTCTAAGATATGTCGGGTATCCTTGGATACTGTGGGCTCAACCCTGTTGTATAGATTCGAAATTGAATACCACATATTTGGCGCGCAGGGACCTTTTGAGATGCTTCCCTCTAGCACGATCCAGCCCGGAGCCGTGAATGCTTGTATTCGCAAGACTTGTCAGCCATCAATGTCATGGATCAAATTGTAATCCTCCTGCTAGCAGTAGGGGATGTAATACCTCGACGATATTGTCGCTTGGTCACGTTTTGCGAGACTTGCGAGTGCTCTTTCAGCACTCTTGGCTTTGAAACATCTCGCATTGCACAAACAGAAGGCTGAGGAGATATTGAATTGAAAACGTGCTAATATCTGTCATACGGCTGGATCCGATCCTGCAGAATATGATTCTATCCGTTCCGCAGCCTTTAGGCCTTCATCCGAACATGGACAGGATTACCTTGAGAAATGCAGCGGTAAATGGCCGAAATGACCGCGAAATTGAACTCGAGTCTGTCCCTGGAAAGAGCCTCACTGCTGCGACCCTCAATCAAGTCGACGAAGGAGAGCAAAGGCCGAAGATTTGCATCCTCCCACCCAAAGGCTGCAAACTTCTCCTCGCTAGCCTCAACTTTGCCATCCGCATCGAAATAATGTACAAGCTTGAAGCCTTGCTCAAGGGGATCGACTTCGTCCTTGTAATCAAACGTCGGCACCCACTCCCAGGTCAGACCTCCCTCTGTGCCATCGACGTTGAGAGCGACCTGTGGCTCTCCGTGGAAACCACTTGCACGCTCGTAGTCGAACGGAATCACCGTACCATCCTCCAATGTCAGTGATAAGGTTGCACCAGCGTGCGTCTCAACGGAGATAGGAAATTCAGTGGGGTCGGCGCCAGTCCGTGGTGTCGCTAGCCAGGCACGATGAACAGTCGCAGCGACAGGTCGGAGAACATCGAAGAACATGGTGAAATCATAGACGCCCCAATCAAAAACGGTACCCCCGCCTGACTTCGTCTTCTGCAGAAACCATTTGCTTTCCGGTTGGTATTCGATGCCAGGGCGAGATCGCGGTTGGCGGTTGACGAATCGGGCGTGGTATAGGGTGCCAACACGGCCTGTCCTGATCAACTCGCGCGCGCGATCTAAGGCTCCGTTCCCAAGATACCGAAAGCTGCACTCTGAGAAGAGTCGGCCGGAGCTGTCACTGGCAGCTAACATCTCTGCCATTTCGGTATCTGTTCTCGCAACCGGCTTTTCACAGAGAACATGACGGTTGGATCGGAATGCACTGAGCGTCGCCGAGTGATGCAGATAAGGGGGTACTGCTATGATAACTATGTCGCGCTCTTGCCCTGGAGAACTGGCAAGCATGGCTTCGGCATCGTCGTACACTGTGGCCCGAGGAAATTTGGCGAGCAATGCATCTCGGGCGGCTTTTGAGGGGTCTGCGGCAAAGAGTTGAACGTCGTGACCTATCATTCCAGCTGCAACCGCATGTCGACTTGCGCTGAATCCCGCGCCGTAAAGGTAAATTCGCCATGGTTTAGCTGACACACTGACGCCATTGTGGGTGGCCATATTGAGATTTGGGTCGTTAAAAGTAGGGTAGGAGAGGGACAATGCTCGGACGTTGCACAAGAACAAACAATTAGTGAAAACGATCTGTATCTTCTTGAAGCCGGCATGTATGGTAGACAGAATTGATACTTCTAGATGCGTGCTGTCCGAGCTTAGATATTACCGACTATAGAACTAACAACATCTAAGACTGAGCTAACCCCTGAAAAGCCTAGATGCAATTGAGATACGAATGTCTTCAGAAAGGTTTCTAGAATTAGCGGAAGATGCGGACATTGACCAGGGAGAATTCCATTTTGAAATTGAAGCTGTTGGAGGTGTCAGCGATAGCAATAAGACGGTCCGTCACGCCGCGCGTCGAGTGACCTTCTGCCGTGGGCCAGAGTTGGGGCCGCCGAGGCAGGGGTGGTAAGGAGATACCATCTGACGCTCTCGTTCCTAGTGTTGATTTTCTCGTTCGATGCGCTAATTGGAATCCTACGGCCACCATCTCCCGTTATGCCGATGTCGAGTTCTTTTGCACCCCGCCATCTTTTATATGCGATGTGGCACGGCAGATGCACGCCGCCTCTCCGGTTGACAAAGCGCGAACCAGCTTCAAAGATACTGCTGGTGTGCTTCGAATTCTGTCTGTCCCAATATGACCGAAAGTTCAACTTTGACGGTTCTCAATGTCGGAATCATTGGTTTGGGAGAGCTCGCTCAGGTCTGTGTTGTAAGCTTCCTCAATCTTCCAATGACAGTATTGACGCCTCCTCTGTCTCCAGGTGTCCCACATTCATGTCTTGAACAATCTCTCCGAATATTACCAAATCACCTACCTCTGCGATGTGTCGCAGCAGGCGATCCAACACTGCGTCAAGAAGGTTGCTGGAAGGACGCCTAAAACAACTTCCGATCCTGAAGAGTTGATCTCCTCCCCGGATGTCGACGCTGTGATCATCTGCAACGTCAACGCTTTCCATCCTTCACAGACTATCCTGGCGCTTCAGCACAACAAGTATGTGTTTGTCGAGAAGCCGCTTGCCCTAAACTACCGCGATCTTGATGCCATTCTTGCCGCAGAGAATACCTCAAAGGGGAGAGTGTTCGTAGGATACCAGAGACGATATGCCTCGGCTTTCCTCGATGCAGTGAAAGAAGTGGGAAGCATGGAAAAGATAGAATACATACGGGTTCGAGGTGTGTGACAATCCGGACGCCTTTCAAGGCAAGTGGTTGACCTTTCATAGACATCATCGGCCACAACAGCTCTTTCGTGAGCCAGTCGGGAATGTTCCCAAAGAAATTCACCGACTTCCCGAAAGATGCGACTGCTGACATGAAGGCAACCGAGGAAGAGATGGTGAAGAAAGCCCTCGTTGGCGAATTTGGAGTCGAAGCAACACCAAGATCAATGACTATATTCCGGCTTTTCACGGGGTCGGTAACCATATTTTGAGCATGGAACAAGATCGTCACTGACATTTATCGCTCTTAGACTTGGCGTGCATGACTTCTCCGCTCTCCGGGAGGTAGTTGGCATGCCCTCCAAAGTTGTCGGTGCCTATCTTGGGCTGCCTGTTTGGAACGTGATATTTCAATACAAAGACTTCCCCGTGATGTACGAGTCCGGCATTCTCGATGTGCCAATCTTCGACTGTCATCTCGAGATCTTTTCGCAGGGAAAGATTGTGCGCATCAACTATGACACCCCGTACGTGAAGGGCCTTCCTGTCACCATGACCATCAGGGAGAAGTTTGAGAGCGATAAGGGTGACGGCTACCAAGAGCGTACTGTGCGGAAGACCTATGAGGACCCTTTTACGCTTGAGTTTCTGGAGTTTTATCGCTGTGTGACGAACAAGTCGACTCCGAAGACTTCGGCCATGGACTTTCGGGAAGATTTGGACCTCATAAAGATGATCATGCAGGCAGAATAAGCTTGCTTTTTCTTACGAGACGGTTAATCGATTCAAAGATTTTGTAGCCTACCTAGGTACCTAGGTAGGTACGCTGAGATATGAGTATTGGCGGACGATTTGAGGACCATTCTGCGTGCTTGTTTACTTACTCTCCAACATAAACATGATTCTCCTCTATACTCTTGGACAAGTGATTCTATCCTTAGTTGGGAGAGCTGCGAGTACCCTAGGGTACGCAAACTCCCTCCACACGTTCTAACCTACCAGGCGTTCTCCCCTAAAAGAAACCAACAGCACGACGCATGTCAATGATTGCTTAACGATACACTGTTTATACTTTGCTTTGCTTACGCTTCGACGGCTGCGAAGACTTCAATAGGCTTTGCTATTCTGGACAGCGCAAGAACTAAGGAGGAAATGCAGGTAAATACCCAGCAATAGCGCCTAATTTCACCCACCCGTTTCGAAATGTAGTAAACAGCAAGAATAGCACGAGACGGCAGTGATAGATATAGGCAAGACAACCTGAGGGGCGCGTGCCATTCGCTTCCCAGGGGTTGGCAACCAACACCGAACTTGTTGGCAAAAGAGTTTAGTTAATTTGCTACCATTCAGCCCCTTTAAGAGCATAGCGCCTAATCGTTTAATGGCACTGTGACTTTAGAAGCATTATTCTCGTAGTTCGTAGTAGCTCGTCTCTAGCTGCAGTTAACAGCGGCCTCCTAGTAGACTCTAGCATCGGCATTGAGGTTCTAGCTGCCTCGAGCTTCTTCGTCGTTTTCGTTCTAGCTGCCTTGAACTTGTCCATCGTTGCGATCGTTTCACCTGCAGGAACCGTAGAAGCAGTCGTCTCCTAGCTACTACTAGGAGTACTATTAGATACTACTCTCTAATCTTTTAGTGTCGCAGAGAGGAGTACAACCTCCTCTTAGCGGATGTATCTATTCTCTGCTAGAGCCTAGTCGTTCTCCTTTAGAGGCTTAGTGCAGCGCTTTACACCGTGCCTAAAGTTACCGCCGCAGTTATTGTACTTGTGCTTGCTCTAGTCCTTTAGCTTAGGGCAGTCGCAACGCATGTAGCCTTTATCGTCCTAGTTACAACAAATTAGAGCACGCAGCTTAGTAAACTTAGTCTTGCAATAGCTAGGTTGCCGCAGTTGTAGCAGCTACTACTAGCTCTTCTTCTCCTGCAAGCGCTATCCTTAAAGGCAGTTAGCTTTGCAATAGCTAGTCTCACTGCAGTTGTAGCAGTAACTACTACTACCCTTACTATCTCCTCCTCCTCCTCTTCTTCTTCTTCTTCTTCTTCTTAATAGATCGTCTAATTTATACATCCCTACCCTCGTCTCCTCCTATTCTTCTTCTTCTTCTTCTTCTTCTTCTTAATAGATCGTCTAATTTATACATCTCTACCCTCGTCTCCTCCCTACTAATTGTCTCTAGAAGAGCTATTAAAAGCTAACTTTCGCCCTCTGTACACGAATAATGCCGCGTTCTATTTAGAAATGTACAGAACAAGTTCGTTTTAGCTACTAAGCTCTTTCAATGGTTTTAACAGCATGCGTATGTCTAATCCTGCCTCTGTATTTAGGAATTTAGCAATACTAAGCGACAGAGGAACGGCGCCTACAGAGACGCTATTAGCTTAGAAGAAAATGTACAATTCCCTTAACGGCCTAGATTAAGCGTCTAAGAATCTCTGTGTTAACACGTTTAAGGTAACTGCTCTTACATCTAGATACATCGCGAGGCAGACAGTATAGTAAAATAGCTTAGGTAATGAGAATTAGTGCAGTTCGCCTTAACAAAGATAAATCTAAAGCATACTGCCTTCTACGCGAATTCTTGTATTTAAGGTCATAATTTTAGATGCTTAGTTAAAGTTGCAGGTAGTCGCTAATAAGTATAGCATGTCGAGGGAAGCAGGGTAGGTAAGATATAACTCTTAGTTTCTAAGTAAGACATTAGGGCAGAAACAGAACGGAATAGCTTTCGTAGAGGGCGTCTAATTTTACTCGCCTAGAACTTAAACAACTCTTGTTGTTTATCCTTGCTCTCTGCAGTTAAAGCAACTACAGCTGCTAGACGCTAGCTTACAATCCCGCTTAGAGTAGTAGCCCTCCTTTCGACGGGCATAGCAGGTGCTATTGAAGTTACTAGTGTTAGCACAATTGCCGCTATCGGCACTAAAGGCAGCAGCACCCTATCTACCAGATGTGTTAGCAGCAATAGACTCTCCAGATTTGCAATCTCTAGCGCTCGTACCCTAAGGCAGTATTAAAGTAGGAAGAGAGACTTGAATAATGCATGCAACGGGTGCGTTTTAGAGAGGGTTGGGGTAAGTGTATTAGAGAGAGAACCTTCTGGGTTGGCGGGAGGCCATTGAGTGGTTGGTTCCATGCGGCTGCAACACCTCGTTGGCTTGTCGTTAGCTGGACAATGTGAATCCAAACACCGAGAATAATAGGAGGCATCGGGTAAGAAAAAACGTACTTTATCAGAGCAACCTATACTACAAGAAGCACTCGCTTGCTACGATAACAACTCTGCTACGGTGTAATTGCCGACGGCAGCGTAAAGTAGATGTGCGTGCTAATATGCAAGTTGTCAAGCGGTAACCACTTATCGTTCCTATACTCTAATACATATTATAAACCCCAGCGAACAACTATAATTCTGTCCTACCGCAAAGCGTCTGTCGTCGTCAGGCTATCCGCTGGTTGGGCGTGTCGCCATTCCTGTTAATCTAGTCAAGATGATGCCGTTTAAATGCGCCTTTATTAGGCCAAGTCGTAACTAAAGTCTATAAGTGTTGAACGGATGCTGTGGTATGAGTGCCGTGCCTTGGATCGCTCTCCAACTCTTGTTAACCAGAGTATTCCGCTTGCTGCCAATACCTACCCGTATCTGCGATGAAGTCGTTTGTTGCGGCGCTCGTACTCCTCGGACCTGCTCAAGCTGGTCTCCGCTTCCCTTGCTCAACGTTGACCTTCCAACGACTTGATCCGGTGGTCCAACCGGGGTCACGGCCATCGACCCACGTACATCACATTGTAGGTGGAAATGCATTCAACGCGACCATGACAGGTGATGTGGGTGAGAGGGCCACCTGCACGACGTGCCAGATGTCTGAAGGTAGACTGTCCAACCTGACCAGTGAGTAGTAGTCGCATGAGCTAACTTTGTTCCGTTTCAGACTTCTCCAATTACTGGACTGCTACGTTGTACTTTAAGCACCCCACCAATGGCTCCTACCATCGCGTTCCAGTTCTTCCAGTTCAACCTCTGTTGGGTGGTTCCAATGGCGCGCAAGGTGGAATTACCGTATACTATACGCAATTCGATTTGTCCCGGGATAACCTGAAGCAGCAGCCCATCAAAGCTTTCCAACCAGTAAGAGAATCAAGATAGGATCCAGTGTCATGCTTACACGTATAGGGCTTCCGTATGACGGTGGGCAATCCAGCTTCGACTTCTCGCCCACCTGTAGGCCTCACCTATCAATGCTTGCAAGGACAGAGTAGAGGTGCAGAGCTATCTGACTTCCCAACCAAGCCATGCTCGGGTGGCATATTTACTACTCATCACTTTCCTGCGTTAGTGGACTTCTGTGTCTAGCTTGAAAGACTTTGCTGACGAGAGCTAGGTGTTGGGATGGGAAGAATCTTGACAGTCCCGATCACCAGTCGCATATGTACAACACGAAGCGTCTGAATGGCTTTACAAACGATCCAGCTTGTCCGGCTTCTCACCCAGTACGTGTCCCGCAGGTGACGTACGAGACAACCTGGGATACATCGAAATTTAATAGCTTGTGGCCCTCTGGTACCCCTAACCCTTTCGTCTGGAGCTTCGAGGGGACGAGCGGTTATGGGACTCATGCCGATTATATGTTTGGTTGGAAGGGAGATTCGCTGCAGCGTGCGATGGACAAATCCGAATGCTTCTATGACGGCTGTGGTTCGATTAAGAAACAGGCAATGGCTGTTGCCAACCAGTGCACTGTCAAGGACATGGTTGGTGAAGAAACCGACGGATGTACGTGCAATGACATCCACCTGGCAGTTCTTAGTACAGACACTAATTTAGGATAGGGCTTACGAAGCTACCGGGCATGTAGGAATGACACAGCGGAGCGGCAATGTATTGAAGAGCCGACTGTTGATTATTTGGGCCGAAGTTGTTATTCAGCCACCCCTAAACAAGCGATTCAGCAGCGTGAAAACTGGGGGCTGACTGGAAAAGGCCCCACGCCGCAGTGTTTGTGCGGGAAATCCCGTAGTTTCGTATAAGTAAGTTAAATTGTCAAAAAGAATAATAGGATGCGGTGCGATAGTGTAATGGTATCACAACACGTTGTGGCCGTGTTAATCTGAGTTCGATTCTCAGTCGCGCCACTTTTTGTTACATTTCTTGCCTTGCTGATATCACGACTTCACGAATACGAAACGACCAGTATCTTTTTTTCCCCAGCACAATTCCGCTAGCCTGATAGGCGTTGATTACATATTTGGAGGATAACGAGGTCAGGCTCTATGCGAGGTGAAGTGCAGAAAGCAGTACTGCTATCATCATACTGTACACTGGGTAACCAAAACGAATGAATTCGAGCCAAGGCAAGTCCACCATACCCGGATCGCCCAGTTACCTGGTTGATTGTCGTTTTACCCGCCCTTTACTTTTGCTCTTGTCATGGTCAAGAATAACGCGTTTCATATGGTTCTGTGCCATTCTCCACCTTACGTATAGCATAATGACGTCTTTGATTCCGACGAAAAGACATCCCCCGAGAATGCTTCGTCCCCATCGCGCTTGGAGAAAGCCAGTAGGCTTGCCACTGAGCGGTGGAGTGACCCATGCCTTCGGCAGCGTCATTCTGAGGACCTCTCCGACAACGGCAGCAATGGAGGGAAAGATCAGAGCGCCAAGTATGCTGTTGGCTATGTTTGTCATGCTTACAGTGACATTATCGACTCGACGGCGAACATGGACACCGTCTCCAGGGTTGCCTTGCTGGCCCACGCCCGGCGCCACATCTGGAGGAGCTCCTGGGCCGCGCGCAATCGGCACGGGGGGATTCTCCGCAGCAGCATGATTGTCTGCAGCACCTCCATTGTTCCAGTCGCGGAATATGTCGAAGTCGATATCGACCTCGATTTCCAAAGCGTCCTCGACGATTTCATCTTCTTGCATGTCATCATTCTGCCGCAATGCTCCAATCTCCCTAGCGTTCAGGTCTTCCCCAGAGGCTGCGCGGGGTTGTATCTGCTTGAGCCATTTATGCTCCTTGGGAGCCCATACGCGCTCGTAGTATGTGTTGTACAAGTTCCTGATATAGGGAAGCGCAGCAACAGTAAATGCTGCACTCGGCGGCCATGAGAAGTGTAACAACTCATCTTGCGGTCGACCCGAGCTGACGAAGAAGATGAGAGGGATGAAGGGGAGGATGGAGTCGGCGGCAGAGGTACGGCTTGCCATAAGGATGGTCGGGATCAGGGGCAGCCCCAGATGCAACCGCCAGTGTTGCTGAAAATCACGCAGGATGGCAGCAGCTACGGTGGTTTCGATCCCCCTCGGAGCTTGATATAGCGGTGCGAGTATGCGCAGGGCATCCTCCGCTCCGAAGATCTCGTAGATATGTGCTTTTCCGATCAGAGATAGGGTGGAAAACGCGGCGGTACCTGCAACAGTGATGAAGCACGGCACTCGCACCACAGCGACGAAATGCTCCAGCACTCGAACGGCATCTACGACTAGGCTACGGGGACGGCGCAGCCTGATTTCAGACTTGCATTGCGGGCATTGTATCTTGCGCGGCGTGCTTCCCGTCTGCTCCATATCCGCGATCCAGTCGAGCAGGCAGCTCTCATGCGCTTCCAGCGCACAGGGGCAGGGCGACCGCCAGTCTGAAGATGTCTCGTCGTCCTCGGTCTCGTCCATGAAGCAAATCCAGCACCTACGGGGTTCATTATTCTCGCTTGCAGGAGGTGGTAGGGCGGTAGTCGTGTGCGGAGTGTCGGATTGGCGGTACGAGGGGTCTTCGGCGGGCGGCTCGGTCCTTGACGATGGGGCGGGATCATTTAGGACAACGGCCGATGAGGGATCAGGGGCTGTGCCAGACGTGTTGCTGGCGGGAATGGCAGGCTCGTGAAGCTCTGAGGATGCGGGGCCTACCTGGCGCCGTTGCGACTCAGGCCGGGCGGGGAGAGAAGCCATGGTGAGGGCTACCGGATTGTCTCGTGAGTAGAGGAAGGAAGAGAGAAGAGGCAGTCAGTAAACAGGCATTCAACGGTCAGCCATGTCGTTCGACTCCAGCTGAAGAGTCCTGGAGCGGAGGTGGAGGATTGCGGGGAAGCACAATGTGATTTGGGTTGTCGTCAGGAAATAATGGCGAGCAGCCGAGCAACCCCGGCCCTGCAGATAAGGTAGATAAATAGATACAACAGACGTCACCTGACAGGTTCCAGAGAGTACCTAGGTACTTAGTAAACATTTGAACACCCGACACCACAGCTGTCTCAACGTAGGTCTTGCTGCTGCCGCTGCTGTTGTGTTGTTGCTGTGGCTGTCTATGTCTTTTTTTGAATAGCTATGCTGAAGAGCGCCCAGCGCTTCACCAGCCCTCGATCTGAAACTCAAAGGTGCGGTCTCCCTTGCCGCGCTCGACAGGGTTCGCATCGTTGTCGAAAAGCGTGCGCTCCAGGTAGAAGACGTTGCCCTGCTTGGACACCAGGATGACGATTTGCTTTTGTGTGCCATAGCACCCTGACAAGGCATTCGCGGCTTTGTGCTTGACCTCGTCGCCGACTTCATGGGCCGGCATCCTCATCTCTGCCAAGTGGTCGCGACCTATCGCGGGAATGAAGATGCTGTGACGGAGCTGGTTGAGATACATGTCCCACTCTTCGTTCTCCTTCTGCTTGGGCATTGTGTCGGTGCTGAGAATGGCTAGCAGCCTTTCGACCAGCTGCTCGCGCGTCTCGTGCTTCTGTACGCCTTCCCGAATTGCGGCCCGCGTCCACTTTTCGCCATTGAGCACCTTGGGCCATGACCGGTCGCTATACGCTGCATTGCTGAGAGCATGCGTCTCGTTCGGCCCTGCAGCGATGCGAATCAGCCCGGCCGCATCGGGTGTGCGGTTGGAGATGATGGCGAGTCCCTTTCCGCCGTCCTTGACCACGTCTTGAGCCAGGCCGTAGCACAAGCTGAAGCCGCCAATGCCCCTGACACCATCCTCGACCAGTCTCCCCGCAAACTGCTCGGTGGATTCGTTCCCCCCTGGATCCGACTTCAACCACGCATTTGGTATCAGCCCTCTGCTCCTCGCGCCAACGACGAGCTTGTCATTCTCTTCGCGGAAGTTGGTGAGAACCGCGAGACGGCCCTGGCGCGTCATACCGAGCCAGGTACCGTGGGCCGAGCGGTAGAGATCATAGCCTCCAAGCACATGTGAGTGGGGAGCTGGCCACCATTCTGCTTGCTGCGTGGGTCGATGCAGATATTCCTGGCGACCTGGTTAGCGGCCAGCTACTTGAAGGGTACGGACAGCGCCCGCCGAGGGGAGCGTTACGTCTCTGTTGTTGAGGAGAATGAAGGGGTAGTCAGGGTGTTCAGTCGTAATGATGGCAATACACATATCTTCACGGCCGTACTCTCGTTGGGAGGCACAGGATGCAAAGGGCAATGAGCCGTGGATATGGATTGGCCGGTATTTGGTGACGAAGGAGCGATTATGAAGAGGCAGAGGCGCACACGTTCTGGGGAAGCGGTGTGCTAGAGTATGTGCCTAGGTAGGTACTATGTAGGCGACCGAGCACCTTGCCATGTGGAGTGAGGTGTCAAAGCATGGGGTGATGCGGTGTGGGCACGTATGAGCTTTCACGTATTAGAAGAATATGATTGCGGTGTGTGCCATGGCCTGCGCGTGGTCGCCGGGTGAGGTATTCCGTACCTGCAGCGGCAACAGATGAGAACCTGGATGGAAAGGGGAGGAAGAAGTAGCAAACAAAACCTCTGAGCTTTCTACCATCACACGCGACTTTTGTTGGGTGCAGCCCTGGAGGTGGTGGTTCACGTTGGACCTCGGTCAAACGCGGGGCACGTTTTCAATTCCGCCCGCCGCACACGTGCCTCCCGCTTGTGACTTTCCAAGGTTGTAGTTTTGAATGGTTTTGTTGGTCCTTCTTCAGCCTGTTGCTGCCGTACTTGTACAAGCTTACGGCAAATGAAAAGGGTGGTTGGGGAGCACATGTCACGTGCCCAACCCTGATCAAGCACGGGCGACGTCCAGATGTCGGGAACCTCTCCAGCTCGTCCAGCTCCACCACCCCACCACTCGCGCCATTTCGGCCCACGGTGCTGCTGCTGCTCTGCATTCCGCAGACATGGCAAACTTCGCACCCTACCAGGACACGCCTGAGACCCAGCGCGCCCTCTCCCCTCCGCCAGCAGGATCCTCCCGGGTCACGTCCCCTCGCGCTTCGCTCGATCGAACCCGCAACATTGGCACTGCCGCCGTGAGTTCGCCGCGAATCTCCACCGGTCGCCAGCACGACCGCTGGGCTGTGCAGGAGCCGGAACGAACGGCGTGGAATGCGATGCCGGCCTTTGGTGGGGTGAGAGAAGACTTGGACATGTTTGAGACACGGCTGGGTATCCGCATGGATTACGAGGCCTGTTTGGCCTATCTGCTGCTTCCGCCCGCCGGAGGAGCATTGTTACTGGTCTTGGAGCACAGGAGCGATTTTGTTCGGTACGCTCACGGACCGGGTTGCCGCTGAAGAATCAGCAGTACTAATGCTGCATCAGATTTCATGCCTGGCAGTCGAGTCTGCTATTCTCCTTCATCTTTGTAAACGGAACCCATTCCTACCATGACACCTGAGGTCATCCGGCTAACTTGCCCAACCAGGTTCTCCACATCATCTTCTCGTTTTCTAGCATACTCTCATGGCTGCTATTCGTGTGCGACATTGCGCTCATCGGCTTCCTCACCATGCACGCCTATCAGGATGGTAGCTTGTCCTGTTGCAATCCGGTCCTACCCAGCTGACTTTTGTTCCATAGCCGGTACTCTTGACCGCTACGAAGTTCCTTTCTTTGGTCCTCTGGCGAGCTCCATATTGGATGACGAGTGAAGCTCGCAAACCACTTTCTCTGTGTAACGGCGTCCCGGCAAATGGACGAGTCCATCATTTCAATGGCTGGAGGGCATTTTCAGGCGTTGGTGGCATATCAAGATACCATTTCAGCAAGCTTCATAGAATGGGCCGGCGCTCGTGTGGTTGGAGTGTTGCCCGTTGGCCAGTAATTCGATTCCTAGAGAGCCGATTAACCAAAGCGGTCCTTCGCGATCGCTTTCAGGTACTCCATGGTAGCCGCTTCCTTCTGCCGGAATTCAGCGAGCTTTTCTTCACGTTCCACCGCCCTCGCGCGCATCATCTCCTCCCTTCGTATCTCTCTCTCGGATTTCTTCCGCTCCATTTCCCTCCTGCTACGTTTATATTCGTCCATGTCGTCGGTGCCGAGCAGATCGGCATCCCCCACTTCGGCGTCACCTCCTTCCTTTGCATTGCGGAACTCGTTCAGAGTGCTAGTGGCCTCCCGTTTCTTCTCCAGCTGGCGCTCACGGGAACCCGGATCCGCGCGGGGGACAAGTTCCTCCAGGCGCTCCTTTTGAGCCTTGCGCTCCTCCTTGCGCTCGTAGCGTACGTCATCTCTATAATTTGAGCTCATTCGCATGCGGTCCTCGGCATTCAGTTGGTCGCGCAGAGCGAGGTCGTCCACCTTTGGCATCGTTGGCCCCGTTCGTCGGGACAGGACATGTCTCGGAATGGTAGGCCCAAAGTCATCCTCGCTTTGGGATTCGCCGCGGGCAACAATCTGTGACATGTGCTGGGGGTCATATGTGGGCGAATCACGCAACTTGGGCTCTGCACGCGAGCGGCGATATGCAGACACAGTCTCTTTGGCCGTCTTCAGCATGGATGGATCGTACCATGAACGTGCAAGCTCTCCTCGATTCCTCCCGAGGTTAGCATACCAGAACGTATCAAGTTGGTGGGCGATGATGATACTCACCAGTGAGATACGAAGCTCTTCCACCTCCCTCGTACTTCGCGCTCCTCGAGTTCATCGAGCTTCAAGCGCTTCTGTATCTCCAAGTACGACTGAAACAGAGGCTTGTACTCGGCGAGTTGACGTTTGGAGAGCCTTGGCGCGTTGAAAGGAAGGGGGATTCTCTGGGGTGGAGGTGAGCGGTTCCTGACATTGTGTCTGCGACTTTTGCGGTTTTCGCGATCGGGGGAGCGTGAACGAGAAAGGGTGTGGGGACGGCGGGTTTGCCGATCCGGCGACGGCGACGGCGGGTCCTGCTCTTCACCTTGTCTGTACGGCATACCTTATTGAGATGTTGCCCTTTTTTTATCCCCGGGCGTTGCTGAGGTCGACACTTCCAAGGTTGCCGTTGCGTTGGACAAAATCGCTTAGTAATAATAAATACCGTGCTTCTGCGTACCTACCTATTTTAGGAGGCCGCTGACTCGTGCACGCTTGACCAAGCGAGTGATCCGAGATTCCAGGGTTGTGGCTTCCAAAGTTCAGCCACGACCTTGGCCTCCACCCAGGTATACACAGGAGATGTACGGAGTACGGAGTACGAAGTACTGTGGTGACTCTGCTGTTCACCTCCAACTTTGCTTGCCCTCCGACACCGTTACTTTTATACACAGTATGATTGCGTCTGCTTCCTTGTGGGGCGCTTATGGTCCTCCTTACTGTGTACTGCGTACTGTGTGTCATAGTACTGCAAGAGGCCGCGGTACTCGGTGGGCCATTCCGGACGGACCCTCTTGAGAAAAGAGGTAGGTGGACTAAAGGTCAAGAAAAAGAAAAAAGAAAGAACAAAGCCGAAAAAGGAAATGCAGCGAGATCGAGAACACAGTGACGCGAGTCCAAAAACGCCATCATGGCGGCTCACCCGGCTTGCCGCTGGCCGGTTCATTTAAGCTCCAAAAAGCGGTTGAGCGAAGAGTCCGAAGACGACCCGATAACACCAAGCTTTTCGGAACGGCGCCTGGTGTCCTTCTTCTCCTTCTCCTCTTCCTCTCAAACACGGGATCCTCCCAGGGGGCCTTCCCGTCAGCCCAAAATCAGCCAACCACGTCCACCCTGTGCCAATATTTTCCACGCCCCGTGTCATCCTGATGCGACGTCCCACGGAGCCGAACAACCCAAACCCCCGTACGCTGATGGACGTGTGCGCTATGGGAGTTGTTTTTGGAAATGCCCAGAGTTGGCTATACTCAAATCAACGCTCTGCACCCTCCACCATCATGCCACGCCAATGCCCATGGCTATCGAAACGGCAAGGATTCGAAGCCCGTGGGCTGCGATACACAGGTTTGGGACTTCCCTCTTTCTCGCTATAAACCGAAGCCGCCTCGCTTCGACATGTATCCTTTCGCACCTTCAGCCCTTCGCGTGGCCTAGCCTATCTGAGAGATCTCAGCTCCGTCAAAAAGGTCCCCCCTCTTCCTGGCGTTGGCTCCGGCTTCACACAGTCATTCGTATGATTCCTCAGCAATCCTATCTTTGAATGTACCACTACTATCTTATTCCCATCAACAAGACCTTCCATGCACTTCCGTAGCGCAGTCGTCGCCGCTGTGGCCCTAGTCCCGCTGGCCAACGCCCATGGAGTAGCTGCAATCCCAAACATACTGGGACTCAATGTCAAGGATTTGAAGGCGAGGGACCTGTTGCACAACCTCAAAGCCCGCGCCGCCGAAGTAAAGCGTGCCGAGGAACGAGTGCCTGCAGAACCCTTGGAACCCCGCCAGAATACGAATGGACAATGTGGTCCTGGATTCGGTTCATGTGCCGCGGGCGTGTGCTGCAGCGAGGGAGGCTGTATGTATCATTCATCTTACCTTGCTCTCCCAGTGTTAACTCAGGTCAGGGTGCGGTACTTCTACTGACCACTGCTACTCTCCTGGATGTCAGTTTCAGTATGGACCTGGGTGCTTTGAGAACAGAACACCGGCGGGAGCGAGCACCGCTAGCGTAACCCGCACCAAGTTTGGAAACGTCCCCTATGGTGGAGCTGGCATCTACTCTTGCACCAAGCCCGGCACCGTCGCCCTCACCTTCGATGATGGCCCAATCAAAGACTATACCGCTCACATCCTCGACGTATTCAAGGCCTACAACGCCAAGGCGACTTTCTTCATTACTGGAGCTAACCTCGCGAAAGGCCAAATTGATACCACTGCAGACTACACTGCCGTCATCAAGCGCATGTACGCCGAAGGCCATCAAATCGCCTCTCACACATGGACTCATCTGGACTTGAGCAAGATTTCCGCAGCTGATCGTACCAACCAGATGATCAAGAATGAGATGGCCCTGCGCAATATCCTCGGCTTCTTCCCTACATACATGCGCCCACCCTACTCGAGTTGCGATGCCGCCTCCGGATGCGAGAAGGCCATGGCAGACCTTGGCTACCATGTTATCTATTTCAATGTTGACACAGACGACTACAATCAGGACTCGCCAAGCAAGATTCAGAACTCAAAGAATTGGTTCAGGGGTAACATCACTGCTGGGGGTGCCACACCCTCAAGCAGTGACTGGTTGAGCATCGCCCACGACATTCATCAGCAGACTGCATACAACCTCACCGAATACATGCTCGCAACTTTGACACAGTTGGGTTACAAGGCTGTCACTGTCGGCGAATGCCTCAATGATCCCGTTGGCAACTGGTATCGCGGAGGAACCGACACACCGCCGGTAAGTGGCATGTTTCTATGCCCCCTAGGGCTGAAACCTCGTCTGAAAATCCATCGCCTCTCTGCATCCACAACGTAAACGGGCCGTGGCTGACAACCTATCCGCAGCCTATCAACGACCACCCAGTCTCTACCGATGGCACCTGCGGCGGCTCCAATGGCTTCACTTGCCAGGGCTCCACCTTTGGCAATTGCTGCAGCCAGTACGGCTGGTGGTGAGTGCATCCATCTTGTTTCTGTGAGGGCAGACACTCTAACAACCGCATCAGCGGCTCCACGTCCGGCCATTGCGGCGCAGGCTGTCAATCCAGTTTCGGCACCTGCAGCGGCACGAACCCGGGGAGCGTCTCCACGGATGGCTCTTGCGGTGGCACCAAGGGATTTACTTGCCAGGGCTCTGCCTTCGGCAATTGCTGTAGTCAGTACGGCTGGTGCGGCAACACGGCAGACCATTGTGGAACGGGATGTAATAGGAATTTCGGTACTTGCACATAGGAAGAAGGAGACGCGGTTATGAGGCCCTGGCGATTCTCGTAGATGAAGGCTATGTGCGCCTATGTCTAATAGTAATCTTGGTACTATTATTACGCCCTTAATACGTACCCTCTTAGATTGCTAGACAAAGTATTTAATTACTAATAGCCATATGTAGCTAAGGTGCTTGTACTAGAGCATAGTATCTGCCCTTTAAGGTAGACACTTAGTGCGTAAAGTTGTCTAGTAAGTATATAGAGTAGTATTTATTTAACTATTACTTTCTATTATTAACTATTAGTAACTAATAGTTAACTGTTTAGCATCTTAGTATTTAATACCCTAAAAAAGAAAAGAGGAAACAGTTAAAATGCTCTAAGAGTTATGGTTAAGGACAGGCAGATAGAGTTGGGTATTAGCAAGACTAAAGCATCTGTAATTCCTTTCTATCGCTGTCCTTCTTAATCTACTATTAAGCTAAAGGCCTTAAGTATAACAGGTAGCCTCTAGGTAGCTCTACATAGAATAACTTAAGGTTAAGTAGAATAGCTTAGGCTAGCCTGAGTTAGCCTAGGCCTACTAGGGCTGCACGAGTCTAAGCTAGAATATAGAGATTTCCTTATATACAGCTTAGCCTCTGTACTTTATATAGTAGAGGATTATATTTATTTTATTTTATATAAGGATGCCTTTATGTCAGATGGTAAGCTAGTTTATGGACATCCCATCTGGGACTGAAGAG